ATTTGGAATAAATTTCATGTTTTTACTTGAATAGTTATCATAAATAGGTAAGCTGACTATCATTGTAAAAGAATTCACAATAGCAGACAGATCGTGAGAGGAACCAGAAAGAATGGCCTGATGAATTTTTTAAGATGATGATGTGTACTCCGTTTTGAAAATGGAAGATAGGATATTTTTATTTTAAAGAAACTTTCCTTTCTCAAGCCCCTACTATATGTCAGCCTTGATATGAAACTGACTTAGTGGGGGCTCTAGAAGGAATCAGATCTTTCTTTCATCAAAAGTAGAAATAGGATTTGATTTTCTTAGAGAACTGTCAGCAGATCAGTAGCTTGAAAGGATAACTTTTAAAAAGGCAATCCAAAGGCTGATTGCAAAAATTTAGGTAATAATAGTAAAAACATTTTAGGGTTCAGATAAAATACAGGACCTAGGAAAATATATCGTTTAACATTACCCCTCACCCAATTCAAGATGGATTAAAACAAGTGACACTAAAAGGATAAAGGCACTCGTGGCTTGGTAAGGAAGGGATAATTTATTTTTAATTAAAAAAATACAATGTTACATCCAGTTTGGAGTATGGAAAGAGTATTAGGCAGAATTCTGAAGATGTCACCTCCTCTCCCTCCATAATTCCTGTTGCCTGGTGTTTCAGTCAAGCACTAATCTGGGTACTACAGATGCTGCAGATGAAGTTAAGGGTACTGACTCGCTGATCTTAAAATATGGAGGTTGTCCTGTGGTTGTTATACATACAGTCACAGTATAACCACAGAAGCCCTTATTACAGAAGACAAAAGAGAGAGAGAAAAGTGCAGGGAAGGAGGACGAGAGAGATGCTGCAGAACGGGGAAACTAGGGCGAGTCTAAGCATAAGGATCTGGGCCCCATTGCTGTATTCTGAGACACAGGGGCCCAGACGCAGGAAGTGGCAAGAGTGCCCTCTGGGGGGTGAGGGCGTGCCCTAGCTGACATCTGGCAAGGGAATAGAGACCTTAGTCTTCCAACTGCAGGGAACTTACTTCTGCCCAGAGGCAGGTTTGTTCCCCAGAACCTGCAATAAGGAATGTAGCCCTACCATCACGTAGATATTTTAGCCTAGGGAGACCTACCTTGGACTTCTGACCTTACAGAACTGTGGGACAATAAATGAGTGTTGTTTTAAGTTGCTAAGTTTGTGGTAATTTGTGATGACAACAATGACAAATAAAGACAACATTCAGCTTTATTCATATCCCACAAAATACTGTATTTATTCCCTTTGAAGCTTTGATGATAAGTACACTTCACCTAATTATAAACATAGTGCCCATATATTTTTGTATCCTGCTTTTCTCTTAATCATATTTATTTCTCTGTGTTACTATGCAGTTTTCCCAAATCATTGCTTTTAATAGAGTAGATATATTGCTTTTCTTTGAATAGATACAATATGTTATATATTGAACCCATTGGACTTATGTGTCGCTTCAAAATTTTTACCATCAAAATACTATCCTGAGTGTTTCTGTGCATATGATGATCTCATATTTGAAGTTACTGGAGCAGATATTCATGTGCATCGTTACCAAGTCAAAGGGTACCAGCCTTTTTATGACTCAACGATGTATTAGCAAGTCTTAAATGGCTTAGCAATTTAAAAGTCTTTAGCAAAAAGTGAGAGAACCGTGTTCATCAAAATCATCACCATTAGGTAGTATTCATTTTTAAGTTAATTTTTTGTTGTTGTTAATGAAGGAAGATTCTTGGTGCAGAGTTTTAAATTTAGGGAAGAAGTTTCCTAAATTACCTAGAGAATTAATGTATAAGCTACTATTCTAAGTATTTCAGGAGATATAAAACTGAATAGTGTGAAAGGGAGAGTCGCCAGTCGTGTTTGACTCTTTGCGACCCCATGGACTATATAGTCCATGGAATTCTCCAGGCCAGAATACTGGAGTGGGTAGCCTTTCCCTTCTCCAGGGGATTGAACCCAGGTCTCTTGCATTGCAAGTGGATTCTTTACCCTCTGAGCCACAAGGGAAGCCCAAGAGTACTGAGGTGGGTAACCTATCCCTTCTCCAGCAGATCTTCTCAACCCAGGAATCAAACCAGGGTCTCCTGCATTGCAGGCGGATTTTTTACCAACAGATATATCAGGGAAGCCCTGTTATAGTGTCTGGTACCTGAAAACCAATTACGATTAGTCATGTACCAGTCATAGGGATGTGAAGCTAGTTCCTCACCTCAGAACCAGTGTTTAAACTCACCTATTTTTAATTGAAGGAAAATCGCTTCACAATATTGTGTTCGTCTCTGCCATACGTCAGCATGAAGCAGCCACAGGTGTGCGTGTGTCCCAGCCCTCTGGAGCCTTCCCCCACCTCACCCCCTTCCCCACCTGTGTCCCGGAGCCCCGGTTTGAGCTCCCTGAGGCATGCAGCACATGCCCACTGGTTATCTGCTTTACACATGGAGTGTCTGTGTTTCCATGCTCCTCTCTCCATTCGTCCTGCCCTCTCCTCCTCCCCCAGTCCATGTCCATGAGTCTCCTCTCCATGTCTGCATCTACACTGTTGCCCGATGAATAGGTTCATCAGTACCATCTTTCTAGACTCCATATATATACATGAATATACAGTATTTGTTTTTCTCTTTCTGACTTACTTCACTCTGTATAATAGACTCCAGGTTCATCCACCTCATTAGCACTGACTCAAATGTCTTCCTTTTTATGGCTGAGTAATATTCCATTGTGTATATGTACCACAACTTCTTTATCCATTCATCTGATGATGAATATCTAGGTTGCTTCCATGTTCTAGCTATTGTAAATAGTTTGTCAGCTTGATTTTTTTTTTAATAGCAATGCATATACAGTCTGTTGTTACTACATTCCTACCTTCTATTTCTGTCATGCTGATTTTCTAATAGTTCTTAAAACCACACTTCTATTTTTAATGTGGGTATGACCTTTTTTTTTGGTTTATACTTTTGAATTACTTTCCAACACTTTGGAGATACTACTGACATATATGTAAGTTTAAGATGTACAGCCTGATTATTTGATGTACATATACACTGTGAAATGATTACCACAATAAGTCTAGTTAGCAGCTCCATTCCCCTCAGAATTACCTTTTTGTGTGTGTGGTGATAAAGTTTTAAGTTCTGCTACTGAAGGTCTTATTAACTTACAAGGATACAATATAGTATTGTTCAGTACAATCACCATGCTATACATACATTAGATCCCCAGAACCTATTCACCTTACAGTTCAGAGTTTGTACCCTTTGGCCAGCATCTTCCCTGCCAGCCCTGACAACTACTCTTTTCCTGTCTCTGAGTTCAGCTTGTTTGAATTACTATATGTAAGTAAGAACATGCACTGTATGTCTTTCTCTGTCTGGTTTATTTCACTTAGTGTGATGCCCTTTTCATGCTGTTTATGGGGTTCTCAAGGCATTACTTTGCCAACAAGATCTGTCTAGTCAACGCTATGGTTTTTCCAGTGGTCATGTATGAATGTGAGAGTTGGACTATAAAGAAAGCTGAGTGCTGAATGCTTTCGAACTGTGGTGTTGGAGAAGACTCTTGAGAGTCCCTTGGACTGCAAGGAGATCCAACCAGTCCATCTTAAAGGAAATCAGTCCTGAATATTCATTGAAAGGACTGATGCTGAAGCTGAAACTCCAATACTTTGGCCACCTAATGGGAAGAGCTGACTCCTTTGAAAAGACCCAGGTGCTGGGAAAGATTGAGGGCAGGAGGCGAAGGGGACAACAGAGAATGAGATGGTTGGATGGCATCACTGACTCAATGGGCATGAGTTTGAGTAAACTCTGGGAGTTGGTGATGGACAGGAAGGCCTGGCGTGCTGCGATTCATGGGGTCGCAAAGAGTCGAACACGACTGAGTGACTGAACTGAACTGAATGCCCTTTAGGCTCATCCATATTGTTGCAAGAAACAAAATTTCCATCTTTTGATGGCTGAGTCACACTCCCTGTGTGTTTGTGTGTGATATATATATATATGTATGTGTATATATATATACATTTGTCTATAGATACCTCACATTTTTTCTATCCATTCCTTCATAGTTGGACACTTAATGTTGTTTCCATGTCTGGGGTATTGTGAATAATGCAATGAACATGGGAGTACAGATAATTTGTTTGATATAATGATGCCATTTTTAAAAATACATATATACCCAAAAGTGAAATTGCTGGATCACATGGTGGTTCTAGTCTTAATTTTTTGAGTGGCTACAACAGTTTACATTCCCATCAGTAGTGCACAAGAATTCCTTTCATGGATGCAGCTATTTTCTTTCTTAGGTTCCCAGTTACATTCCACTAATATCTTAAAAAATGAAAAATTTTAGGTAGGAAAAATATCTATGTGATTAAACATGCTCTGAATAAGCAGATACCAAGTTATTACTTCAGTGTTCTTTTGTACAAAGCAAAGTATTGTACTTAAAATGAAGGACTATCTAATACTAAAATGTAAAGTACATTTATTTTCTGCAACTGTAGAACAGTTTATACCTAAACCTTTCTCCCCTGTGAAGAAGCTGTGAGTTAAAGTAAAAGACACTGGATGGGACTATTTGTGTTGCTAACCAGCTATTACTTTGAACATGTCACTTATTATCAGTGCTTCTGCTTTCAGTTCTATAGTATGAGAGGTTGAATATGTTGATCACATGAAAAATCGTCATTTAGAAATGGTAGGAAAACATTTTGGACTCAGTGACATAGGCTGAAATTAAAAGTATCTGGTAGGAAGTCATATTTTGGTTTGGACTGGTTTGGAAGTTAAATGAAGAAATCCGCGTAAAGCTCCTAGAGCAGACATTCAGCATTAGGTAGCATGAAAATGGAGATAGAGATAGTGACAAAGCTTTGGTACTAAAATACGCTTTTTCTGAGAGATTGTATAATTGAATTGCATTAGAATCTGTGAAAATAAGGTACACTTTAAAAGTACATGTTTTTACTTTCCAGGATCAAATCTAAATCGCTGTGGTTTCCGAGGCTCTTCTTACCTGGGTATTCCATTCAATCCATCAAAGGTTAGTCCTGTTTGGATTAGAAGGAAAGAGGAGGGGGAGTGTATAGATTTTAGTAAGAAAGAAAACTAAGAAAGTATATAGAAAGAACCAGGTTTCCAAGTTTTAGTGTAGCTAAATAAATGTGTTTTACGAACTGTAACTTTTTAAGGGAAAGCTGTACCCACCCTACTTCCTGAAATAATGCACAGTATATAAGCCCACAGGAATTCCTGTTGTTACAAAAATTATGGTTTTGTTGCTATTGCGCCTGTGTGTGTGTACAAATTATTGGTGATTTCCTGGAGAAAATGGAAATAAAGTACTGGAGTACATTTGTTCTCTAAGAAACGTTCCATGGGTTACAGTAGGACTTTATATTTGGTTCACGTTTCTTAGGAATGAAAGAAAACGTTCTTGCTAAGGCACTGATTCGAGGCCCAAGTAGTGATGAATTATGATGACCTTCATGACAGAGGCAGGTTGTCTCCAAGGTTTCAGGCAGGACTTTGGTACTAGTACATGCAGGTACAGAAAATCTGTGAGTCCTGACAAGCTTTTTTCCTTCTTCAAAGAGTTAGACCCCAAACAAGCTTTTTTAGGTATTTCTTCTGTGTACAAAGTATTTTTCTACAATAGAAAGCAGAGAAAAGCTTCATCATTTTGTGGAAGAAGACCTCACAAAATAGAAATTTTTTCCTAGATGGGATCAGCCTGCTTATATAATGGTTACAAGCCAATATCTGGCTACACTGAGTGCATCAAGATTTGTATCTGGTTCCAAACTGAAGGTAAATGGCATGCTACCAGTTTTTCCATACTCTGCTTCAAAATTTTGGAATAAATAGCAGTGGTTTTGGAGGAGGTGACATGATTTGACAGAGGCATCACTTCAGCTTTCTTCCTTTGCCTTAAGCTGTAGATAAGCATGCCTATGTGAAACTCATATGACTTCACTAAAGTATCTCCAATCACGTATGCCCATTGATTTTATTAGATAATCTAGAAAAAAAGATCCATAAAAATTGTTCTTTCTATATGATGCATTAAATACTTTGCAACTTAAGACAGTGCTAAATAGAGATAGCTCTGCATTTAGTCATAATGGACAGGGTATCTATAAGTCACGACCCTGATAATAATGACCGTTACACCACACTATACCCTATACATATGTATACCTACACTTGTTGGAGTAAAACAGTTCTTTGATAACATTACTTTAAGGAAGCAGCTTCCTTTTCCCCCTCACTCCTCTCCCAAAGCATATTTGAATTAACAAGAATAAAGTTTAAGAAGAAACTTTTTGCCTTTGGTTCACAGAGTCTCCTAAAACCCAATTATGGCTGAATTTAATTCATTGGTACCTAGGCATTTTCTGGGGAAGCTGGGTCCCACTCCATTCTGTGTTGCGTTAATCTGAATGTTGAATGATAGAAGGAGCTAGAGGCTCTGGTGGACTCATAGGGGCCCACAAGGAGTTGTCTGTTAGGGTGGTGGCTGAGAATCCAGGAGAGGGGTGAAACCAAGAGAACCTGAGGAAGCAATAAGATTTTCTAATATAGTATATAAATAAAATAATACCATCAGTTTTTCTTCTAAAACCACCTGTAGGCCATTGACTTATCTGAAAAATGCTCAGGGCCGCTAGTGACCATAGAACACTTTTTGAGAAACACTGATGGGTCCTCTCAACCCCCTTTTCTCACTGTTTTTCTTCCAACAAATCCCGTATTACCTTTGAAACTATGTACTATCCTTAACACATACTACATGGCCAGGATTTTTCCTTCTCTGCTTTACTTTTACTTTTTCTCCTACCTAAAGCCCCCTCTTCATCTGTACCTAACCAAGCTTCTCTCATCCTGCAGAAAAAAAATCTTTTATCCATGTATTGTTGTATTTCCATCATGACACTTATTGCATCCTATTTTGTACTGTACTTATTCAAATAGACCACTCTTCTGCCTTCAAGATTAAGGTACATGTTTGATTTATGTTTGGATTCGCCACAGTGCTTCTAACGTAGCAGATATTTAGCTTAAGTAAGCTCCAATACTTTGGCCAACTGATGCAAAGAGCTGGTTTATTGGAAAAGACCCTGATGCTGGGAAAGATTAAGGGCAAGAGGAGAAGGGGGTGACAGGATGAGATGGCATCACTGACTTGTGGGCATTAAGTTTGATCAAACTCCAGGAGATGGTGAAGGACAGGGAAGCCTGGCATCTTGCAGTTTGTGGGGTTTCAGAGTCTGACATAACTTGGCAGCTGAACAACAACAGCAACCAAAAAATAATTCTAAGAAGTCAGTTATAAATGTGGAATAGAATATCCAGGCATATTAGAGCTTAAATTCTAGGGAGGAACTCAGAATGGAAGCATTACCACAATGAAGATTTGTTTGTCATATTTGTGAGACCATATAAAAAGTTGTATATGTAAGACTGGATAGGTGGGGTGAGTTCAGATTTAGAGGATATTTGAACACCTTGCAGACTTATTCTGTAAAGAATTATAGAAGGTCAGTGAGCAGGTAAGTGTTCTGATTAAGTCACTTAATCAGACCCTTGGGTCATGACTCCAAAGAAGTAGTGGCCCTTTTGATATTTGCCTTGCACTTGCATCATCATCAGTAAGATAACTAGCATCTGTATAGATAGTAACTTTATTTAATCTTCACAGTAACCCTGTGAAGTGGATACTAATATCTCCATTTTTCAGAATGAGGCAAGCCAGTGAGTAATAGAGCCAGGATTTGATGCCTTTCAGTAGTGTAGAGGTTAACATTTATTGTAGAAAGCAATGGAATCTATTTTAACCAAAATCTTTGTATAAGATTCATTTTAACTTTGTAGTATTTTGAGCAGTTACTCAGGTATTTGAAGCAGTTATTGATGAGCCCAACTAAAACAGAAGGAAAGCCTATGAGAAGGATGAATTTAAAAGGTACTCTTAGTCTGTCAAAATCAAAACTTTCTTAACAGAGAGATAAATTAGTACAATGTGAAATTTTGCATTTTTTCAGTGAAATTAGCTTTTTAAAATAACTAGTTAATAGGACTGGGTATTTGAAAATAATTATAAAACTAAGTGCTTTGTGTATTGTGCAGTCTTGTTACTTGGCTTTACATTTTTACTTTTATTTTAACAAGTTTTTAAGTTAATTTTATCTATGTCTGTGCCAGCTGGAGTCTACAGGGTTTCCTACAAGGAGTCACATTATTTTATAAACCTTAAGAGATTTTTGATAACTTTTGTAGTTTTGTTGGAACCACGACATCAGTGAGACTAATTCAGTACATGTTTTGGTAACATGAGTCTCCTAGTTTGACTCCCCAGCTCTGCTGGGCGATTACTAGTCTAACAGGCTTCACAAAATACTTTTTACAGTCAGTATTCATTTGCGATCTAAACTTTAAAAGTTAGATTATTTTATCCTAGAGAATTTTTCAATGTTAGTATCTTAAGCCTTTGCATTTTTTTGTTATTTGCTATTCTAAGTGTTAATGTTATTAGAAAGTCAAATAATTCAACTATATGAGAATAGGAAAAGATTTTTCAACTATATTGTTTTGTATTATTTTTAAATGGTAATTACTACTGTGGTATACTTCATTTGAATTTGTATGGCATAAAATAATTATTTCTACATGCTTTTTTAACTATATAAGGCATAAATTATAATTGATCTGGTTGATCAAATAGAAAGTTTAAATAATTTGGTTTATTTGAATATCAAATCTACTTCCATAAAGCTTAAGGATAAATTTTAAAATTACGTGCCTGGATAGTATGCAGTAATACTTATGTTGAGACATACATGAAATTGAGTTTTATTTTTCTCTACCAGATGTCTATACAAGTCAGTAAAAACAACATTTGATTTTACTGTTTACCGAAACTTCTTGTCAAATTATATGATGGAGTAAGATTTCATTTCAGTTTTCTAATTAACATTATATTAATTTTGAATCTAGAATCCTGGAACTGCTCATCCTTACGATAGTGGCCACATAGCAATGACCTACACTGGCCTTTCATGCCTAGTTATTCTTGGAGACGACCTAAGCCGGGTAAATAAAGAAGCTTGCTTAGCAGGCTTGAGAGCCCTTCAGCTAGAAGATGGAAGGTACAGGTCATTTTTTGTTACTTGTCTCTCTCTCTCTTTGGTTTGTTTTTTTTTTTTTTTTAAATCTTTTGAAACTAAAAATGAATATAGTACTATAGTAGACCTATAGAATTTGTCATAAGTTCTTATTCCGGCCACCTGAAAGTTCACTGTATAATACGGTTTAAGTGCCTAATCAATGAAATATTTCTTATGTGAATGAAAATAAAAGTAATCAGAATAATAGGACTCCATTTTTATTTCATTTTTTTTTTTAAAGGAGACAATAAGTGATCCATAAATAAGTGGTTTAATAGTTTCAGGATTAGGATCTACTTTAATTTACCTTCTGGGTAAAAAATTAACATTTTGAAGCAGACATACATTTAGTCTCAATGTTTTAAAAGTTTATTTAGTGTTAACTTTTATGCCTGAAGGTAGTTATAGGGGGAAAAAGGGATGAATGTTGAATATTATATTCTAGTGTAGATAGTTTCTATATTTTTAAAGGTTAGAAAAAGAAGTTAGTGAGTTCATTAATATTTGATGATTTGAGTCATGGGTCTAACAAAAAAATTTTAAGGTGAAACATTTTTTTAAATCTTGAAAGTAATAAAGCAGTAGTGATTCTGTCTAAAGAGAAAACTTGGCAAACAGATCCTGCCATGTTATATCTATGTTCTCTCTACCATTGTCTCTGTTTTCCTGTCATTATTTTAAAAACACTGCTCTTGATGAGGGGAAAATTAATGGAAACATGTAAGATAAATTGATGTTAATTGGAAATACTATAAAACTAAATACTTAACTCAGCAAGTACATGTCACTAATTTCTCAGTATTTCACTAAAGTCTTTGGTTACTGCTATCTTACCCTTGTTTATAATAAAAGAATAGACATGAAACACTACTATATACTTCTCTAAAACTAATTACAGGTAAAAATTAAAACAATATGATCAGTTATCATATTGGTTATCTATATATACATTGAGAAGAAATTGTACATAGGCAAACCAACAGTTCCCAGTTTTCACCTGCTCCTGTTTCTGTCATGAATTCTCAGGCCGCGGTGCCACAGCTTTCCGTGGCGGAGAGTGGTGGCTCCTGCGGAGGAGTAGCTGCCATCGCGGGTTAAGCTCCCCAGACGGCAGAACTTCGGAGCAGAGTGACGCTTTAGGGGTAGTTTTATAGCGTTCAAGTTAATAGTCCTGTTCTTCACTGAATAATACAAGTAGTATATGAGTTTTAAATCCGATTGTTAGTTAGTGATAGGTTTTTCTGTGAGTGAAAACATGAAGTGGCTGTTTCTAAATAGCCCCCCGTACAAATAAACAAGTTACAGTACAGTAAATCATGTTGTTCTTACTTTCAGTTTTTGTGCAGTCCCTGAAGGCAGTGAAAATGACATGCGATTTGTATACTGTGCTTCCTGTATCTGCTATATGCTCAACAACTGGTCTGGCATGGATATGAAAAAGGCTATCAGCTATATTAGAAGAAGTATGGTGAGTTATGTTGATAGTGACTCTCTCCTTTAGTTATTGTTGCTGATATAGGAGAGCTGGGAGGAGAAGGGGATGACAGAGGATGAAACGGTTGGATGGCATCACTGACTCGATGGACATGAGTTTGAGTAAGCTACGGGAGTTGGTGATGGGACAGGGAGGCCCGGCGTGGTGCAGTCCATGAGGTCGCAAAGAGTCGGACATGACTGATGAGAGCTGGGGCATGCCTCATCTCTTCTATTAATAGCAGTAATTTGGAAATAGGGTAATAAGATTGCTTTCTAGGCACATCATATATCAGAATAGCCATGTAAAAATAATCTTCAAGGACAGATTGACTCTTTAGCCATTAAATTTTAAATATAATCTGATTGTATCCAAAGAAACAGTGTCTTTAGTGGAAAGAAATTGGTCAGCCTTGGAAGCAAAAAATGGTAAAATCTCAAAGTAAATGTTGGTAGTCTATCCTAGTAGGGGTCCTTGAAATCACAGCCAAACTTAAAGGAGAATTGTGGTTCCTTTGGTGAGATTTTTTTCTTTGGAGAAGGAAATGGCAACCCACTCCAGTATTCTTGCCCGGAGAATCCCATGGATGGAGGACTGTAGGCTACAGTCCATGGGATCGCAAAGAGTCGGAAACAACTGAGCGACTTCACTTCACTTTACATGGTGAGTTTATTCCTATATATCGGGTGTGAGATGTGGGTTCCTTAAGCCATTTCAAGTAGCAAGATTGGGTTGACAATAGATTTTTGCATCACTTTTGGTTTCTAAATAGTTTTATGTGTGGGTTTTTTTTTTTAATCTAAGGTTTAAGGAGAGTATCAAGTAGAAATTTATTCTTCCACACAATATAGTTAGTCTTTTTTTTTTTATCAACAATAGTAAGGAAACCTTAGTCTCAGCTGGAAATACCATTTGCTCTACTTTTTAGTCTTTTGTATAAAATCAGAGTAATAGAAGTGCTGCTTCCCAGGTTTATTTTACTTACTAAATATCAAATTTTTATTTTATAGATTAAAATATTTTAGGCTGTTAATTCAGCTTTTACTAGTCCATATTTCAGAGTGGAAATGTAAGTTCTTAGAGGAATAGAGTTATTTTTAATTAAATATGTAAATCAGAATTTTCAGAATATACAATAGCACAAATTTTTAAAAGCCTCGGGAGGCAGAAAGAGCAAACCTTTAAAGAAGTTTTAAGGCAAAAGGAGTTTGATGTTATAGAAAAAGATGGGTGATTGTTTTGCCAAAAGTTTTACTTTTGTTTTCAATTCAAAGGATTTGTTAGCCAAAGAAACCATTGTTACACACATAAACAATTTCAATTTTTTATAGAAGAAAGATAATTTGAAAAGAAATATAAACAATAGAGAGAAGTGACAGTGTATACATCACCAAACTGGGCTGAGCTACACCCAGACTTGAACAGCACTAGGAGGTCCCTTGTTAACAGCAGTCTGGAGGCCCAGCTGAGAAAGGGTCTAGGGGAGCTGCATCCGCCCACCAGTGAGGCTTCAAACCGTAGTTTCAGGGGCTCCTGCTTATAATCCTAGGCCACGAGCTGATAGCAGTATCAGTTTGTGTCAGTTTGTGTGCAAACATGCAGGTATGGTTTTACTTTAATCTTTCTACAATATGGAAAGATTTGTTTCACCTTATGAGTTATAGAATTCCATTAAACCCTCTGGGGAGGGGGTGGGGGTTGCCAGACCATCAGGGGCTCAAGAATTTCAAGACGAACTCCCTTTCTAATCTAAAGTGCTGCCTGACTTGCTGTGCTTGCTAATCTAAAGTGCTGCCTGACTTGCTGTGCTTGCCAGCAGGCGTGGAATCCAGGCAGTGTCCGCACAGGTCAGAGCAAGTCAGAGGGCTGCTCTCCTGCTTCTGAAGCCTGAACAAGACTTTCCCCTATTTCCCTAACAGTGATAGGCATTGTGGCATGATTATTGTAAAAGTAATACCACGTTCTTCTTAGTGCATTGTATATGGAGGTACAACTTGTTGATACTCCTTATTGGTGATGTTAACTTTGATCACTTGGTTAAGCTGGTGTATGCCAGATGTTTCTCTATAAAGTTAGCGTTTTTTCCATTTGTGATCATATTTAGTATCTCATGGTAAGATACTTGGAGCCTATGTAAATTTCCTGTCCCTCATCAAACTTTTACCCTCTAGTGTTAGTGTGCATCGATTTTCTAGCTCTACCATTCATTCTGTAATTATCAGTTAAAATTCTGCTGCTACAAAAATTGTGTCCGACTCTGTGACCCTGTGGCCCGCCAGGCTCCTCTGTCCGTGGGATTCTCCAGGCAAGAAGACTGGAATGGGTTGCCAGTGCCTTCTCCAACTGTACCTGATCTTCAACTGATGACTGATGATGGCAAGTGGGACTTCAGCAGCCTGCGCACAAGAAGACCCACTGCTAAGCTGAGACCCTCTGAATGTTGTCTAGCTCTCCTGGCCCTTTAAAATGCTTACTCTTCTCACGCTGAGTGAAATGCTTACACCCTGGAGAAGCAAACGAATTATAAGGACCAATTAAAAGGCAAAAAGCCGGGATGGAATCAATGAGTCAGTGCTAGAATAATGCTAAATAATAAAATCCTTCCGGAACATGGTTTCTTAACATCTATTTGTTCTCCTGGATCTGTGTATTGGCAGGGCAGCTCCCCAGGCTGGGCTCTGGGTGGGGGTGAGGGGGGGCGCATATTGCATCAGCCATGGACCCAGCTGGGTCTGGCGGGGAGTGGGGTGGGGTGACGGTGCCCTGCTCTGTACATGCTCGCCCCAGGCTGCAGAGGCTATAGTTGCCTGGAGAAATTGCATCTCACAGAGGGCTGAACCGAGACCGTGCCTGGACACACGTGCTTTCCAGCATTTGGTCACATCCTGTCTCTTAGCATAGAAGCCCCTAAAGCAAATACTAAGGAGATCAAACCAGTCAGTCCTAAAGGAAGTCAACCCTGAAGATTCATTGGAAGGACTGATGTTGAAGCTGAAGCTCCAGTACTTTGGCCACATGATGTGAAGAGCTGACTCACTGGCAAAGACCCTGATGCTGGGAAAGACTGAGGGCAGGAGGAGAAGGGGACGACAGGATGAGATGGTTGGATGGCATCACCGACTCAATGGACGTGGGTTTGGATGGACTCTGGGAGTTGGTGATGGACAGAGAGGCCTGGCATGCTGCAGTCCATGGGGTCGCAAAGAGTCGGACACGACTGAGCAACTGAACTGAACTGAACTGATCATTTATTTTGATACTGTCCCAGATTCAGCGAGCAAAACCCCCTTCACGCAGGCTCTTATGCCCTTTTGACCTTGCTCTCTAGCACAAAATATTCCGGGTTCATAGTTTAATTTCCCAGCCTAAGTTCTAAAATTGGTGATTTCTTAAAGAAGTTCTGGTTCTTCTTTTTGAAGGGTGGTGTTTAGAAACCAGAATTTGGGCACAAAATGTGCTCATTGGTACTAGGATGTCATTGCTTCTAGCCCTTGTCTCAGAGGTAGGAAATGTATATATGTATGCACAGAAAGCCCCCTTACACACATCCACACATTTATATCTGTTTATCAAAAACCATGAATTCATGCTAATGAAATGATGAAAGTTGCTTAGTCATGTCTGACTCTTTCTGACCTCATGGGCTTTAGCCTGCCAGGCTCCTCTGTCCATGGAATTCTCCAGGCAAGAATACAGGAGTGGGTATTCTCCACTGGAAGATCTCCAGGAGATCTTCCCCACCCAGGACTTAAACCCAGGTCCCCTGCATTGCAGGCAGATTCTTTACCATCTGAGCCACCAGGGAAGCCCGCGTTCATACTAATACCTCATTTTAATCCAACACCATCTGTTCAGTCGCTAAGACACTTTGCGGCCCCCATGGACTCTCACGCCAAGTTCCTCTGTCCTCCGGTATCACCCAGAGTTTGCTCAGATTCATATCCATTGAGCCAGTGGTGCTATCTAACCATCTCATTCTCTGCGGCCCTCTTCTTTTGCCTTCAATCTTTCCCAGCATCAGAATCTTTTCCAGTGAGTCCGCTTTTCTCATCAGGTGGCCAAAGTAATGGAGCTTCAGCTTCAACATGAGTCTTTCCAACAAATATTCAAATAGGATTGACTGGTTTGATCTCCTTGCATCCTAAGAGACTCTCGAGTCTTCTCCAGCACCACAGTTCAAAACCATCAATTACTTGGCATTCAGCCTTGTTTATGGTCCAACTCTCACATCTTATATGACTCCTGGAAAAAGCATAGGGTTGATTATACAGACCTTTGTAGGCAAAGTGAGGTGTCTCTGCTTTTTGACCTACTTATCTAGGTTTGTCATTAGCTTTTCTTCCAAGGAGCAAGTGTTTTTTAATTTTGTGGCTGAAGTAACCATCCTCAGTGATTTTTGTGGGCCCAAGAAAAGAAAATCTGTCACAGCTTTCACTTTTCCCAGATGCCATGATCTTTGTTTTTTAACTCCATTCAGTTCATTTTAATCTCCCCCTTTTCATCTGTGACTCCCTTCTTGGGCAGTGACAAGCCTGACTCCTGTTATCCAGAATACATTGGTTCTTTTTGCTTAGAGCCCACGGGTATATTGCCAGAATGTTATATTTAAAAAACACTTGGGATTTTTTTTTTATTCCCTCCACGACCACCTTACCCCCAACCTTTAGTATGTTTATGTCATTTATTTGAAATAGAGTTGTTTGGATTCTACTTTAGGATCACCCCCCCCAACTTTGTTGATTTTATTTCCTTAATATGTGATATATTAGTTTGCTTCTGAAAGTCAGAATTTAGGTTCAGAACTGTGTAACTCACAGGGGCTTCCCCTCTTTCCTGTCTCCTTCCTCTGCCTGACTCCTGTGTTTGCCGTCATGTATCCATTCACTCTGTAGGTGAGTGTTCTCATTAGTTTCTGGTTCCTCCTCCTTGCTCATTCAAAAGAGTACCTTTTTGCATTTTGCTTTTTTTTACTTAACAGTATAGCTTGAAAACCACCCTGTATCAGGTCAAAAAAATTTTCCTCATTTTTCATTTTTTTTTTTTTTTTTTGCAGTTTTGTAGCACTCCATTATGTGCACATCATAGTTTTTTCCAACTATTCTATACATAGGGTATGTATTTTCCTAAGGCGAACAGTGTTGAAACTAATCCTTTCTGCATGTTTGCTTATGTATTGTTGGGAATATATTTTCAAAATAAATTCCTAGAAGAAGAATTGCCTGATCAAAAAGTAAATGCATGCATAAATTTTCATTTTCACTCCTAAAATATGAACCAGTTTATATTCCCACCAGTGTGTGAGAGTGCCTGTGTCTACACAGGCTCACCAATAGAATGTTGTTGCAGTGTTTTTATTTTTACCAATCTGGTGGGTGAAAAATGATAACCTTGGTATGTTTTCAAATTTGCATTTATTTTATTAAGAGTGAGATTGACTGTTCAGGGCTATACAAAACAAGCCTCAGGCCAGGTTTAGCCTGCAGGCTCCAGATTACTACTGACCCCTACTTGTAGTCCATTGTTTTTCCTTTTTCTTTAGGTACTGCAATTTTGTGTAATTTTCTTTCTTTGCTCATCTTTCATTTCAACCACTTTCTCTTCAACTCCTTTTACTTACTTCTTTATCTCATTTTTATTCTCTTGGTTGTTTTCAGCCTTTCTTACATGTCCCTTAGTGTCTTTTCCTGAAATCATTTAATTTTCTTTATTTCTTCCTACTGTTTATCCTTTTCATTTTTTAACTTTAAATCTCTTTTCATTTCCCAAGTGCTTATTTGAGGGTATACAGTTGAGTTTGGGTGCTTCACCCTAGTTTTCTTTTACTTTTCACCATACTTTGGAGGTGAAGGCAGATTTTCCTATACTGAGATATTTTCATTGTGACCACCATGTTTTCATCTCAGAGATTCAGAGTTCCTTTGTGTGGATTTGTCTTCTTCTGTTTAGTCATTAGTGGATTTTTTTTTTCTTACAAGAATTCCTAGTTTAGTAAGAGTGCCATCTTTTCAGTGCAGAGAAACACAGTATGATTTTTTAAATTTAGAGCGTGTTTTTGTTTGTGTAGTGGTTGGGGAAGGATAGTGAGTTCTATGATTTTCTGCTAGGAGAGAGTTCTTTTTTGTTTCCTGGGTTTTTAAAGTTTGCTCCTTGGAGTTTTCCTTTGTTATCTGATCTTCAAAGGGCCCTTCTTTCTTCCTTTTTCTTCTGTCTTCACCGGAGTTCTGCCCTTTGGACGCCGCCACCTTGACCTGCATGCCCTCCTCAGCCCCTTTCCTGGGGTTAATGCTCAGTGTTAGCAGAACTCTGTATATAGTACAGGCATCCTCGCTCTGACTGGTCACACCAGACTATCACTATGGTTGTGCTGGCTGAAACGATGCAAAGTGATCTTAATCATCAGTGGGAAGAATGACACTTGTTCTGTGACCTTTATAAATTTTTTGCCAAAACATTTAAAACTATTAATGTTACTGTCAGTTTTAAATGTATAGAGAAATTTTCATGGTAAACCCCAATATTTGTTAGTACACTGTAATTTAAAACGTTAGCAATATTGAAAAAGTGTAGAAAATTCATAAGGAGTAGTTTGAACAGCATTCTTTTTCTTCCCATTATATAACTTACAGTACGGAGCAGGCATCTTTTCTGTCTCGGTAAATGATCCTTTCTAAATTAGTACCAACTTCCAGCATTTCGTCCTTTGCATTGCCATTGTTGTGAAATACCTGAGAATTCCTTTTATGTGAAGTTTTTGCCAACATCACTTCTCTGGAACATCTTCTTCCTTTTCATGATAGCCACTTTCTTCATTCATGTAGAAATTTCGCCTTCACTTAATTTTTCTGCCTTCATATCTAGTGTCAAACAACCAGCACTGTCATGATAACCATGTCTTCTGCTACTCTGTTTGATCTCAATTTCACTTTCAGTGCTACTGTTTTTGGTTTCTTCACTGCACTTTTATCTTTGGTGGCCAGTCTTTTCTTTGGTTACAACGTTTTGCAAGCATCACGTGGGTTATTCATTCTAATACAGAGAAACAGCACGACCATGTACGTTGCTGTGCTGAGCACCGCGTGGTGACCGGTCAGAGACTGTGCGCAAGGTGACTTGCGTGTCCACAGCTCATGATGCACTCTGTCAGTCCGTCATTCTTGGACGGAGGGGCTAGCAGCAAGCTTGTGCTGCATGCAGCTGCTCATAGTTACTGTACTGTTACTACTGAAATGTGAGGCATACTGTGCTGTTGGAGTTTGTGTATAGTTGGGAGAGTGCAAAACAAGGATTTCCTATAATTTCACACTTAAGGAGGCCTTTCCTTTTGAGCCAGTAATTTTGGGTGATCTCAGACAGCCCCGTTCCTCCCTCTTCCTCACGATTTTTCATGAATTGCCCTTGTTCTCTGCAAAAGTATCAGGAGTATGAGATTTGTTGTTTCTTTTTCTGTAGACAGGTAATTTGAAGCTTCAGCATGTCTTCCAGCTTTGATAGCGTTTCAGTTCTATGTAGTTGTATTATTTTTTTAATTTATTTTTAATTGAAGGATAATTGCTCAGTTGTATTATTATTATCCTTTTTTGATTTTGTGGGATATGTGGGGAAATTCAAATTTTAGGTAGGGCATCATTATCCTCAGCTAACCAAAAGTCTCAAAACAGATTTGTTTTGTATTTATAATGTTATATATATGAGTATGAAATCCTTATGTAAGTTTTCCTTAAACTCATACCTCTTGCAAGTGGGAGAGGAATAAAGGTTGAGGCTTTTTACTGGGTAAAGATTAAATATGTAAGTGCCATCTTTGAACAGTCTCTATTCACTACATACACTAATACAGTCTCTCCCACATTTTCCCTCAATTTTGGCAGAACCAGAAGAGAGCAATAGTCAGTCTGTTAGCACATCAATAGCCTGAACTTTTTCCAGTGGAAAATTTTCATGTAGAAGAAAATATACTTCCATGCTCCTTAAAAAAAAAAGGCTCAGGTCAGGGAGGCTTTCTGAATGAACTTACTTCCTCTCTCTCACAGCCATGCTTTTGTGCTCACTTGGTGTGTCCGTCCCTCTGCTAGCACAGCGGCGTGGACAGAACACATCCGCATCCAGGTCTCAGCCCTCGCACTGGGGGTGCGACTTAGGCTCCTCACCGAGTCCCTCAGAGGCTCTCGTCCTTCTTGGTCAGGGACACGAGGGGAGCTGGTTTGGAAAGCATGGAGCAGGCGTGAGAGCTTTTCACCCACGGTGCTTGTGCTTCCCCAGGGCCCGGCCTCCCTGCCACGTTCCCGCGCCCTCCTCCAGTGCTGGTGGCAGAGCGTGTGTCACTGAGGGGCGTGTGAAGCACTGGGGTTTTCCTCTGAAGCCACCCTGTAATTAGGACGTCTTAATTCTTGTGTGTGCCTGAGTCTGTACGAGATTGGGGTGGCAATGCAGTTGTCACTGGTCATCACCTCTTGGTGAGGAGGAATATGCTTACCGTTGCACAAAGAGGAAATCTGTCATCTGTCTGATGGAAAAAAAAGTCTTGCTGAGTCACACAAGTAGTGATTTTGAGTCCATTTGACTCAAGTATCCTCTCACCCAACAAGACCATCATTGATGAACTGTGGTTCATGCCTAAAAGCTTACATCTTCCTTTTTACTTGTCTTTTTGGGTTGGTAGGTTTCAGGACTAAAGCTGTAGAGGGAAGGGCTTCCTTGTCAGGGTGCCAAGGTACTGGATACGCTGCAGAAGGGTTATCGGCCTGCCAAGCTTGCCCCTTGCTCACTCAGCTTTTGGGCAGCCAAGACCTGGGTGTCTAGAGCTCCCCGGGGCACCACTGTGTCCGCCAGATGCCTTAATGTTCTTGTGTGCTGACGGGCTGAGAAGTACTGTTCTGGAAGGCTTCGGTATAGCCTCCCTTCCTTGTCTTATCCCTGGCTACACTGGCAAGAGAGACCTCTTTCTAAAAACTAGTACTGGAGCTTGGGCACTCTGTGAAGGCGTGCATGTTCTCCTTTCTTTCCATCAGAGTATCAGGTTTGAGTGGCCGTCTCCTTCACATCCTGGAAAACGTGCTCTCGTTTTCGGGTGTCTCTTCTACAAGTCTCCTGCACTGCCAAGCGTCTCCTCAGCCACGGTGCCCACTAACGTCCTTCACAGTAGTGAGCTCAGACCCCGTCTTCTCAGCCGTTTTTACAGATGCCAGCTTTCCTCTTTGTGCAGCTGTAAGCATATTCCATTTACTGAGCGGTGATGACCAGTGACACAGTTGCTATTGCCACCCCAGTCTTCACTTCACATTCTCCAGGTACTGGCTCAAACGGTGTTTTTGGATAAGCCCCCTATTTAAAATTGCAAACCAACCACAANTTACTGAGCGGTGATGACCAGTGACACAGTTGCTATTGCCACCCCAGTCTTCACTTCACATTCTCCAGGTACTGGCTCAAACGGTGTTTTTGGATAAGCCCCCTATTTAAAATTGCAAACCAACCACAAACACAGCTCATTTTTAGAATTGCAAACCAACCATATATACATATCCCATTCTCTGTCTGGAAATCTTTCTCTTATTTGTTTGTGCCTTAATATTCTTTTACTGTTAATGCCTTCGATAAAGGAGGTTATTTATTTCTCAGCCTGTCTAACCTCACAGTGCACAAGAACATTCAAACATCTATCTGTAGGACACAGGTGCCCTGAGGAGCTCTAGACACCCAGGTCTTGGCTGCCCCAAAAGCTGAGTGAGCAAGGGGCAAATGAGCAGTAGCTTGGCAGGCCTATAACCCTTCTTCAACTCAGGCATAATGAACAAAGGTTAGAATTTGGACCATTATTATGAGAAGCAGTTCTTAAATTGTACTGTAATATAATGATGGGATGTTCTCGAAATTTTTTGAAGCTTGTAGGAATCATTGACCTAATTCTGTTAATTAGCCTTAAAAGCATATTCTGGTTGTGTTCTTGTGCCTGCCCTTTTAGTAATGTTTCTTAATATACTTATTGTCAGAATGTTACCTGTCTTTTCCTGTTTTTATGTCTGCCTCTAATACTCTTCTAACATGCTACTTTTAATCCAGGTTTTTAGAACTGGCTTTTTATGATTGTTTAGACAGGAACTTGTTAGGAATAAATGTTGATAAGTGGGTTTTAGCTTAAAGCATAGACTTTAATTATTGTTTGGCTGTTCAGAGTCCAAGCTTACTTCAGAAGTTGTTATTTTCAAAATTTGGTTGCTTGGGCAAAGTAAAGAGTGTTTTTATTTTGAATTGTTCTGGCTTGCTTTAAAAAATTCCAACAATTATTTTGGAGAGTAGCAATTAAATACCTCTTTATTTCTTGGTGTAGTTAGTTTTAAAAATTATGTACTTTCTGTTAGAGGCTTTATATTTAATGATGTGTAATACTTAAGTCATGGGCAGCTTCATAAAAGAGAAATTGAGACTAGTAGTCATTGAAGGAGGAATAAGACTGATAGTTGCTGAATAGAAATTAATCTAAAAGGTTATGATATATTTGTTTTACTTTTGTTTTAATACACTCATTGCTAACATAGATCTTCCTCTTTTTTTTCCCCATTGGGAAAAAAATCTGAAGACTAAATAGTTCTTACAGTGACCCTTTATTTATTTGTTTGTGTGTTTTTATATTTTGACAGTGACCATTTTAGTGTGATAGCAGCCTTACATTTTCTAGAGCGAATGCTCACTTTTCCTTTGCCAGAGAATATAGCCAAGATTTGTAACACCAAAAGGAGAATTGCAAAATGAGGCATATTAGGGACAATCTTTTTAAAGAGCTAGAATTAATAAAAATCCGTAGATGAAGTTGTAATAAATTGGAAATATGGAGTATTTTCAGATTGTTTGGAGTTGACAACAGATAGTGCCAATGAAAAGTGGTGGAATTTTTTTGTTTGTTTTTTCCTATGTGGAAAAGTACTGACTTTTCATTTCCTGAGGAAAGTAGTTACTTTTGTGACTGTATTGGTTCCTTTGATGCTATAACATTTTAATAAACTTAGGGGTGTAAGACAATGCAGATTTGTTCTCATAGCTCCAGAGGCCAGAAGTCTGGACTGCACCTTACAGGGCTTCAGATCAAGGTGTCAGCAGGGTGAGCTCTTTCTGGGGGCGCCAGTGGGGGTCTGTTCCTTCGCCTTGTTCAGCCTCTGGGGACTGCTGGCGTTCTTTGGTGTGCCGTCACAGTACTTGAGTCTCTGTTTCCATCGCCTCCTTCTTGATTGTGGTTTAATCTCTGTCTATCTGTCTCTTACAGGGACACTTGTGGTTACATTTAGGGTGGCCCCCATCCAGAATAATCTCCCCATCTCCAATCCTTAACTTCCATCACGTTTTCATAGTCCCTTTTGTCGTATAAGGAAACGTGCCCGTATTCTAGGGATTAGGACCTGGGTATCACTGAGCCGTGGTGGAAGGCGGGTGGGGCGTTTTTCAGTCTAGCATAGTGAGCATGGATGCGTATTGCGCATCTGCTTCCAGATAGAGTTTTCTTCTCCACCCCCAACACACACACACTCTTTCGCTTTCCCTTTTCTATTCCTTTGTTGAAGGAACTTTTCTTCCTTAAGATAACTTAAGGCTTCCCCTAAGATAAACTTAAGGGCTTCCTTTGTGGCTCAGCTGGTAAAGAATCTGCCTACAGTGTGGGAGACCTGGGTTTGATCCCTGGGTTGGGAAGATCCACTAGAGAAGGGAAAGGTTACCCACTGCAGTATTCTGGCCTGGAGAATTCCATGGACTATATTATAATAATCCATGGGGTTGCAAAGAGTCGAACACAACTGAGCGACTTTCACTTTTTCTTCCTTCAGTTTCTGAAGCTGACTGCATATAAGCCTCTAGTTTATGTTACATGTAAAAATTAGTCTGTAGCTTAGGCAGATGGGACCTTAGTTCATAAACAGTACACTGTGATTTTTAAGGGAATTAAAATCAGACTCAGGTGTAAGAGTGGCAGACAGGAAATAGTAGTCCTAGACTTTAGTTTCAGCTCTTCCTATTAACCATAAAATTTTGAACTGCTTTCTAAATCTTATATTTTTCATTTAAAAAAATGATTCTTTTAAATTATTTAAAAATTTTTTCTGTTTCATCAAGTTTATATTGAAGACTTCAGTGCCTAGTGGTTATTTTAAATAGTGAATTTAAGTAAATAGTAATATAAAAGTAAAGCTATCTTTTAATTTTACTTTTCTTTCACTGCTTTCTAGAATTACTTAACCATTTTTTTTTCTTCAATCATTTCATATTACTTTCCTAGACATCTAATAAGTTTAAAGTACTGTGTGGTTTTAATTAACAGGAGGATCAACTTTTTGTGGCATTGCATCACTGTGCCTGATGGGTAAACTAGAAGAAGTTTTTTCAGAAAAAGAATTGAACAGGATAAAAAGGTGGTGTATAATGAGACAACAGAATGGTTATCATGGAAGGCCTAATAAGCCTGTTGACACCTGTTACTCTTTTTGGGTGGGAGCAACGCTAAAGGTAAGAGAAATAATAAAAATCAGAAACTTATACTCTTTGTTAATGAAAACTGTGCTTAAAGGGTTTGGTCTTTGTAATGTTCATTAAATATCGTTAGGTTAAAGCCAAAAAGGTTTTCCTGTTGCTTTGGCAAAGCTGGTCACTGTGTGGTTTTTCCACAGAATTCAGTTATCTGTTGTACTACTTAAAAATTTTTATTCTTATAAAACTCTAGTGTCTAGAACCTATAGAAGAAACTAGGTGTAGTGTTATAAAAAGCTTGTAACTGAAACTTACCAGTAGTCCTCCTAGATGGAAGATCTGTCTGAACATACCAGTAAAGGATTTATGGGAAAATACCTTAAAAGATAAACCATGGGTAATTCCTTTAAAAACTATTTAAAGTTTTCTGTTTTTTATTCATTTATTTGTATAAGCCTTCTGAAATGTATTCATTAATATGATCATTTTCCCCATCTCTGCTACCTTTTGATATGTGTAAATCCATAAGATTATTAGCCATTGAGTACCCACAAGTTTTCTATATCCTAAAATTGCAAGTATCACCTAGGCCTGATATTCTGGAATCTAAAAAAAGTATATTTATCATCTATATAACATGTTAATTTTTTCTCTTAAAATTTATACATGTGGTTAAAATAAATAAAGAAAATAGAATGTTTTTTCTGTTCTCCTCACTTATAGTACCATTCATCTGATGCACCATTTTAATTTTTTTAATTATGGAAAATTTCAAACATAGTCAAAAGAGAAAATGGTGTATAATGAACACTTAATATGTTTAGTAGCCAATTTCGGCAGTTTTTATCTCAAAGCCAGCCTTCATTCATTCATACAGCTACTCACTTTTCTCCTCACTGTATTATTTTAAAGCAATTCCTAGATAACCCCTTTTTACTTCATCTGGAAATTCTTCAGTACAATCATTAAACAAAGATAGCTTTTTAAAGAATGGAGATGTAATATTCTGTCTTCTAAAAATTCATCCATAACTCCTTATTATCATTAAATATCAAGTCAGGATGATGTATATTTCCTATTGTATCACATCAGGAAGAATATAATCAGTCTTGGTTGTCTCTCCTTTTTGATCTAAGGGCTCCAGAGTTGTCAAAGCTGATTTATCCATTATAAAGTTCCCCATCAACCTGTTCTTCTTCCCTTTTTTTTATGGTGGTAAAATATATGTAATGTAATATTTATCAGTGTAACTATTTGTAAGTGTACAGATCAGTGTTGTGTAATCCTTACCATTATCTATACCCCAAACATTTTCATCACCCTAAACCTAAACTCCGCTCATCAAACAGTAGCTCTCCTTTCTCCCGTTCCTCCAGCCCCTGGCAACCCCTTTTCTGCTTTCTGTCTCTGTGAATTTGCTTATTCTAGCTACATCATGTAAGTAGAATTATGTAATATGTGTCCTGTGTCTGGCTTTTATTTCTCAAGATCCATCAATGTTGTCACATATATCACAATTTCATTCCTTTTTATGGTTGAGTAATATTCTGCTGTATGTATATACCACATTATGTGTATCTCTTCATCTGCTAAGGGACAGTTGGATTGTTTCCACCTTTTGGCTATTGTGAATAAGGTGGTTATGAGCATTGGTATAAAATATCTGTTCAAGTCCCTGCTTTCATTTTTTTCTGGGTAATTAACTAGGAGTGGAATTGCTGGATTATACGATAATTATGTGTTCAAATTTTTGAGGCACCAACAAGCTGTTTTTCACAGTGGCTGCACCATTTTACATCCCCCGGTGACGTGTAAGGGTTCCAGTTTCCCTACATCTTCACCAGTGCTTGTTTCTTCCATTTTTTATAATAGCCATCCTAATGGGCATGGACATGAATTTGAGCAAGTTCTGGGAGATGGTGAAGGACAGGGAACCCTGGCTTGTTGCAGTCTGTGGGGTTGCAAAGAGTCGGACATGACTGAGTGACTGAACTGAACTGAATAATGAGTGATGCCAAGCATCTTTTGATGTGCTTATTGACCATCTTTATATCTTCTTTGGAGAAATGTCCAATTTATCTGTTTTTTGTTGTTGTTGCCGGGGCTTTTGGTTGTTATTCCATGAAATAATTGCCAAATCCAATATTATGAAGATTTTCCCCAATGTTTTATTGCAACAGTTTTTAGTTTTAACTCTTAAGTTTAGGTCTTTGATCCACTTCAAGTTAATTTTTGTAATGATATAAATCAAGGACTTCAGCTTCATCTTTTTACATGTGGATATCCAGCTTTCCTAGTACTGTTTATTGTAAAGACAGTTCTGTACCCATTAAGTGGTGTTGGCACCCTTGCTGAAAGTCACCTACCTGATGTTATGTGCGAGAGTTTACTTCTGTGTTCTCCATTCTATCACATTGGTCCTTACTATTTTAATTACCATAGCCTTCTAAGTTTCATCATCAAGAAGTATGAGTCCTCAACGTTTTTCTTTTTAAAGATTGTTTTGGCTCTTCAGCCAAAACAGCATTTTCCTTTTAAACATTGTTTTTGCAATTTCATATGAATTTTAGGATTGGCTTTCCCATTTCTTAGGAAAAAGGCTGTTCACATTTGTATGGAGAGTGCATTGAATCTACAGACTGCTTTGAGTAGTGTTGACATCTTAACACTGTCTTCCTAATCCATGATGATGGGATGCTTTTCCATTTATTTAGATCTTTAATCTCATTCACCAGTGTTTTACAGTATTTTGCGTACAGAGCTTTTACCTCCATGGATAAGTGTATTCTCAAGTATTTAGTGGCTTCTTTTAGAAGCGTTTTCAGTAGGATTGCTTTCTTAGTTTCCTTTTGGATTGTTTGTTGCTGGTGTGTAAAACCTTCGTCGTCTTCTTACAGAATGGCTTTAGTGGCCATTGAGCATCATTCCTTAGATCCATTATGTCATTGGGGGTTGTTAAATGGTGATATTCTATCATTCCCTGTAAATTTACTAACTAGTGTCCTTTTGTAAAGAATTTCTCTTTAAGATGTGGTTGTACAGAGAAAAACAGATGATTATTTAATTTGAATAGTGTTCATTCCATCCATTGAGTTGGTTCTCTAGCATCCTCTAAAGTTTTCCAATAAAATAATTGGGTTTTAGGGTTTTTTTCTTTTGTACCCTTTGAGTACCATTGTGAACTCATAGATTTTAATATGTTTTATCTGTTTTAGTCCATTACATTGTTCTTGTTAATGCTCAGATTGTCCCATCTCTAACCAGTAGGCGCCCCTTCAGGTTCGTTCTTGAGTCTTTGTATGATTTTGGTGGCCTTTGACAACTTTCTAGAGGCAACTTTTAAAAATTTTAATTCTTGCGGATAACTTTAAATAACGTTAAACATGCTGATTGCTTGACTTAACACATTTAGACATTATCTTTGATTCCCAGCAGTGAAAAATGAAGATTTTGGTCTCCCTTTTTTCGAGCAAATTGTTACTGGGTTTTTTGTTTTTGTTTTTGTTTTTTTTAAGTTCTGAACCTTTTCTCTTCCACTTCCTTCTAAATCTGTCAGTTTACCTTTATTTGTGTAATGTCAAGTTAGGTAACATTCGTATTTTGCTCAGTAACAATGATCAAATATTTTATGCTTTGCCTGTAGGTTGATTTTAAAATTTGAAAAACTAATAATCACTTATTAGAATTTTGTAAATATTCTTTATTGCTTAACCAAGTAAGATTATAGTTTCTTCTTTGTTCTTAATGACCCATGTGCCACTTGATACTAGAAAGTGTTTCTAGTATCAGGAGTCTAAAGAGTCACTGCTTATATTCTATTAATTAAATCAAAATGAATGAATAAGTTTGTTTCTTATTAGTACCATACTTTGTAATTGGTTTTATTTTGCTTTTTGAGACATGATACTGCTTTTTTAATTTTTTTTGTGGCTCTTTGATTAATATTATTAACACACTTTCAGCTGCTTTGTGACTCTTGAGCTTTCTTATGTGCTCACCATCCCCTGACCCTCTTCTCTTCACAATTTGATTTATCCTTTATTTTTTCTATTTAATAGGATCTTGGGAGAAAGAACAATACATGTCGTGAATCTTTAAGCTACTTGATTTTTTATGCTAAAATTGTATTTGTCTCACCTTTTATCTTTCTTAATTAAAGAGCTTTAATTTTTTTCCTATTCTCAAAATTGCCTTTAGCATGTGGTTAATAATTTTTATTGTCCTTTTTTAAAAAATGTTTTTACTTATCATTACTATAGTTCATAACTAACAGTTCAGAAATCTATTAAGAGTTAGAATGTGGATAAATAAAATTGCCCTTGTAAAAATAACTGGTGAAGTTGCACACATTGGCAAGTTGTGTTTTGAATATGTTGCAAGAAGTCATTTGGATCTGTTTCAAAAGAAAGAAATAGTGAGTGGGTCACGAAAATGAGAGTTGATGATTTTTTAAAAGTTAATGTGGTTGATAATTTTAAATGTTCCAAGTCCCTTAGCCTTGCTTTAAGAGCCTTAACTAGAGAAAAGTGTTTTTAGATTATATATATCTGAAAATTGAACCATGTGTTGATATGAAAGTTTTATGTCAATAAATTTATATTTGTTACTGTCGTTTCAGCTTCTGAAAATTTTCCAGTATACTAATTTTGAGAAAAATAGAAATTACATCTTATCAACTCAAGATCGCCTCGTTGGTGGATTTGCCAAGTGGCCAGATAGTCATCCAGGTAATTTATTTTTTGTGTAAATCTAGAGCAACCTTTGTTTTATTTATTGAATAGATCTTTAAGTGTTTGTCAGAAAGGGTATATGATAGAAAATATAGCCACAGTTATAAACTTACTTTAAGTAAGGTTTTTAAGAAGGTAAATTGTTTAAGTTTACAGTAGATTTAGGATCTTCAGGGTGTAAAGGAAGGGTTTAATTATCAAGATACTGGTGTAGTTTGCCTTTTTTCCCAAGTATTTCACTTAGCAATGTATTATTTTATTGCAGACAGTAAGACAGGTGTGTCTGAATGGTCCCAATTCAAAGTAGAATAATTTGGTTCATCCAAAATCTTTAGGAGTCTTAGCTGTCACTTGAGCTATGTGTAGAATAAATTACTCTTAAATCCAAGAGAGAACTAATTCTTATTCTTTTCAGAAGTCATTCTCCAAGCTACTTCCCCCTCCCTCTTAGGTTTCACCTCCAGTAAAATGACCTATTTACAGCCTCCAAAATCTCAATTCAAGAGTTTGTTAAAAATAAGTCAGAATGCTGACACTTTTAATAATTAGATTGACAAAGTATTAGCTATAAATACATGAAACTAGATTTAAGAAATGATTGCTTTTACAACATTGCAATATCATGGTTTTTATTGTTAGCCTAGAACCTCTTTACCTCATCTCTTGTCATAGAATTGTTACAGTTAGAATATGTACCTGAATTGAAATACAAATAAAAGGGCTCATGGAATCATATTCTTGTACCTGAAGAGAGCAGGAATATTTCCTTATATCCATATTTACTTGTTTTTTCGTGCAAAATATATTAAAAAAGTACAATGCTTTTTATTTCCAAGTGTTAGAAAGTGTTCGTTGCTCAGTCATGTCCAACTTTTTGCGACCCCATGGACTGTAGCCCACCAGGCTCCTCTATCCACAGGATTTTCCAGGCAAGAGAAATTAGCTTATTCTTGGTTCTAATAAATCAATCTATTGACAGATTTGACACAAAGAGATTTTACATACATTAACAGGAAAAACTTATGAAAGGAATTAAGTTTTACTATGAAGAAAATGTATATTTCTACATCTAAAGTGCTTGAATACATCACCACCTACAGATGAGATTATTATTTATTTTTAAGGTTTGAAATGTTTAACTTCTATTTCATTTTTTATAAATAAAAAATCCTTTTGAGGAATAAAAATTTATTTTTACATTACCTGGAACGTGTAAGATCCTATTTTACATTATTGAGTATATTTTCTGTTGCATTTTTTTCCTAGAAAAGTTTTCTCATTTCTAGACAATAAAATTTAATGTTGCTTTGTGCCTTTTGTAGTTTAACATAACTGCAAGAAAAATAGAATAGGAAAAATCAAATTTTTTTTGTGTGTGTGTGAAAATTAGAGGAAATTGAGCTAGAAGAAGTCTTAAGCATTCTCTGAAAAAAACATAAAAGGGGATTAACGTGGGCCTAACTGGTGAAATAACTTTTGCACAAATTACTCTGAATAAGTACAACTATCTGTCATTCCTTTTATGAAAACTAAATGATACTTATGTAAGTCAACCTTTCTCTTTAATTCTTTTGATACACTTTGACTTGGTAAGATGTTTTGAACCTTAATAGCCTATGAAGCTATAAATAATGACCAACTCAAAAATAGAAAAAAATTTTGACTAGTACAAAATCTATTTTTTGTAAGTGTTCCCATAACAGCAGAACTCTGAGCACTTTTAGGACTCCATATAAGGCTGTCATGCAGGCAACAGCTGTGTGATTTCAGTGGTCATTTAATGGGAGAAAGTTAGTACCCCTGAAAGATGGGAAACTGTAGTAAGGCCAGTGCAGAAGAATCGTTCTGGTGTGAACAGTCACATTATTACAACCAAACAGAATGTGTGAGCTTGTTTTTATTATCAGGTCGGATATTTTTAGAGTGACTGACATTACTTGAAATAGGAAAATTAAATATAGTACAGCATTCCCGAATGGGTTATTTTGCCCAGGCTTCTTCCGTTTAACACAGTGTTGGCATTGTGTGGTTTAGGAATTGTCAGAGGTAAAACTTAGCAGGGAATTCAGTGCTACTTAGATTCTGAGGTTTATTTTTCATTTTTAAGAAGAAAAGTTCTTTATGATAGAAACATCTTTGTTTCCATAGTCTGTTGTCAGCAAAAGAGAAAACCCATTAGAGTGAGGAATCTTTGCTAGTACTCTTCCTGTTTATTCTTCAGTCACAGAAGATGTTGGTGGACTCACTTCTTAAGCTAGGAACTGTTTTCCTTGTTAGTGATATTTTCTTGAATATCATCTGATTTGATCATCCAGTTTTTTAAAATTTGAGGTTTGAGACTTTGAGAAAGCAAATATTTCAAAACTATTTAGTATTTTTCTAAATTTATTTTTAATGTAGTGATGGGCTGGTAAGTAGCTAAATATTTTGTACAAATATACCTGTTGTGATAAAAAAAAAAATGTCTTATTTTCAGATGCTTTGCATGCATACTTTGGAATTTGTGGCCTGTCACTAATGGAGGAAAGTGGCATTTGTAAGGTTCATCCTGCCCTGAATGTAAGCACACGGACTTCTGAGCGCCTGCGAGATCTCCATCAGAGCTGGAAAACCAAGGACTCTAAACAGTGCTCAGAGAACGTACACATCTCCACATGACTAGCTTTAGATTGGGGGGTGGTGGGGAGGATTTGTAGCCTAACTGTAGCTCAAGGTTAAAAGCCATGTGTAACCAAGTGTTCTCTTTTCTAAGAGGTAGTCTTACAATCAGATGCTGATGTCACTTTGGGATATGGTCTTGAGCCAGTAACCTTTGTACTAGGTTTCAAGAAAATCTTTGTTGAAGTTTGAACCACAGTGGACTCCATCGTGGTTCTTAAATGTTTATACTATATTTCTAAGTTCTTTGAGGCAAATTAACTGTATGTATGTAGGTTTTTTTTTTAAAAAACAAAAACAAAAAACTTCAGTACAGAATTGTATCATATTATAAAATGGACATGAATCTTCAAAAGAAGTTTACAGTTCACATAGCATTGGTAATCTTCAGGTGAGCACTTAGTGATCATTTAAAAAGCTTGACTGCTTATGGTGGAACATTGCTTTAATGAATTAAGTATCTGGGGTTATTCTCTGAAAACAGATGATCCCATAATTTTTAAAAGAAGAATGACTTATTTTGTCTTATTCTTAAATAAAATGTGCCAATTAAACTTTTGTGGGCTATATACAAATGAAATTAACTTCATAGCAAGAATGAATAGGCTTAACTAATACAGTAATTTCTTAAAGGGAGATTGTTATAAAAAGACTATTATGTAACTGAGGAGAAAGTAATTTAACTGTATGTGATTGTGAATGGGAAAGTTTTGTGCTGTGTGGGTCATCTGTTTTAGATGTTGCTGGGGTAAATAACAGTCATGTTTGATTTTAATCTCGAATCATTAGTTGCTTTTTTTTTTTTCCTTTCTGCAGAGAAAGCCGTCTTACCTAGAGGGAAAAACATCTAGTGGTTTTGTTTCTTTTTCTGAGATAAATTGTAAACTGTATTTTTATAACTGAGTTATTTTTAAACATTTGGTTTGTTGTTGTTGTTGTTGCTCCCTGTGTTTTAGCTTTTCTGATTTCAAACTGATGATTTTCTAATTTTTTGAAGTTAAATAAGTAAACATTTAAGTGAAAAAAAAATAGCACCACTCAATTAAATTTAATGGTATAGCTCCATACACAGTCATTCATATTTTTGTAATATTTTCAGGTAAGTGGGAAGGTAATGTATCCCTTAGAGGTTAAGGACTGGGGTTTGCTTTTCATTGTTCTGTTTTCTTCATTCTGTAACCTACCTGAATTATAAAGAAGTGGTATAAAAACTTACCTTTATTAGTATTCAGCTTATCAATGAATCACACCCATCACCGTTTGCTCAGTGACAAAGTTACGAGAGCAGTTCTGAAACGGAGAAGGAAATCACTTCACCAGAAGGACTAGGTTCAAGTTAAAATCTTGGTGAAAATAGATGTTGGATTTTTAGGTTTACAAGTAAAGTATCAGGATAAAAACTAAATTACTAGTATCACTGTTTATGTATTATAATATCTAAATTTTTCCTTTTTTAGTGGTGAAAAAAAAGTACCCTTAAATAATGATCCCAGGGGAAACCTAGTATATACTTGACAAAATGATTCATTTATTATTCACATGCTTAGTTTAAAACTCAGTTTGCCAAAGTCAACTCTTTTTTTTTTTAATAGGAATAAAATCAGAGAACTGATGGTGGGGAAAAAAATAAACCTAACAACAGATGTCATCCTTCCATGAATTATTCCAGTTTTCACTGGCTTAAATACTGACAAATTAAGACACCTACATCTCAAACTAAGACATTTCTTAGACATCAGGAATTAAGATGGCATGTATGTAATGGCTTTAGAATTATATAAAAAGCCCCAATTTTTTTTTCCTGAATTGCCATTAGTGGTTGGAAGCTTAAAAAGTTAGTATCTATATTTGTATGAAGTAGAATTCCAAGGTCAGAGTGTTTCAGGAAGGGAGACCCCTTCCAGGGCCCGAAGCTGGGCTCTTGTCTAACACTCGGAAATGAATTGTCCGAGGAGACACATGCTGACAAAGCAAGAGATTTTTATTGGGAAAGGGCACCCGGGTGGAGAGCAGTAGGTAAGGGAACCCAGCAGAACTGCTCTGCCACGTGGCTCGCAGTCTTGGGTTATATGGTGATGGGATTAGTTTCTGGTGGTCTTTGGCCAATCGTTCTAGTTCAGAGTCTTTCCTGGTGGCGCACGCATCGCTCAGCCAAGATGGATGCTAGCAAGAGGGATTCTGGGAAATGGACAGACAGGCAGGGTCTCCTCTCGACCTTTCCCGAACTCTTCCGGCTGGTGGTGGCTTATTAGTTCCCTATTCCTTACCAGGATCTCCTGTCATAAAACAACTCATGCAAATAGTTACTGTGGTGCCTGGCCAGGGTGGGTGGTTTCAATCAGTGTGCTTCCCCTAACAAGAGTATTTCATAAAACTGCTAAATATTTTCTAACTAACTCCTTGTGTAATTTAGTAGCATAAGATTATATATTACAGTGCGATTCTAATTAACGTGCTCTTGAGAGGTATTCTTAAGGAACTGTCACCTAGCAATGTTCACCTTCCACAACAGCACATTGACCAAAAGAACCACCAGGTCACTGTGAATTGTGGAGAAGCTATTCCAAACTTTTTCTAAATAGTTACTTACAGGAAAGTATGAATAAACTAAATTATAAGCACTATTTCATATGTATACTTGATCTTTAGCAGTGGTAATAGAACGAGAAGGGGGATTATGAAGTCTGTCAGTCTGTTCCCTATGCTCTTTCCCCACCTCCAGGATGGTATTTTTTTAAACTGTGATAGAACCCTTGTTTTGGGCATCTGCATGAAAACAAGGTTGATCAGGTTGTTAAAACATAATTCAACCTATTTATCATCTACAAATGCTTTTAGACTTGACCTATAATATGTGTACATTTTAATTAGATCTTTAAACAATCATTTATAAATATTTAAACTCAGATAGAAATTTTTTCCAACAGGGGTACATCGTTTGAAACTATGTTTTGTTGGGTCTGATAACATTTGAGTGTCATTATCATAAAGAGGTGTTCTGGAGTCAGATGACTGGGGTTTAAGTCCCAGGTCTGCCAGTTCACCAGTGTCGTACTGGACCATAACTTCCCCTTTGATAAAGTGAGGTGAGCGGATCTAACAAGGTTTTCTGAAGGTCAGATGCATGCGTGCTAAGTTGTTTCAGTCGTGTCCAACTCTGTGACCTTCATGGACTGTAGCCCGCCAGGCTCCTCTGTCCAGGGGATTCTCCAGGCACGAATACTGGAGTGGGTTGCCATTTCCTTCTCCAGAAGGTCAGATGAGATAATACATATTAAGTACTTAGCATACTACCTGAATACAATAAACTCCTAATTATAATTTCTGTTAATAACCATCTTCAAATTGTTTTTAAAACCTCTTTCCTATAATAGAGCTCCCACAAAATTGAAACTCTAGAAAGACGATTTGCAGCAGTGTAGTTTCTGAATATTGTCATTCGACCCTAGAGTAACTAGCATCACCACAGATCCCATTTTACAAAACCAGATGACAGGGTGGCCCTGTGAACTTCAAAATACAGTGTTGGACAACCCACTGACCAGCATAGTTTCAGCATCTGTGTGGGAGGAAGTGAAAGGCAGGCAGCTGGTTTCTGTCAGCCTTGAGAACAGAGCTATAACACTGCCCACAGCTTTCTCACTAGAAAGTGCAGCGGGGCAGTCTGAGCAAAAGCTGGAACTGGAAGGGGTCGTACAGGTCCCCACGTGCAGTAAGTGTTAGATCAGTATAGTGTGGTCTGATCGTTGTGTGGGAGCAGCCTGGGCCCTGTTCTGTTTGCATCTTAAACCTAATGAGACAAAGCCCTGCTCGAGGTAGAATCCAAAGTGGACCGGATAGGTCCCATAGGACAAAGAGAAGAGAGAGTCCAGATATATAGGAAGAAAGGTCAGTATACATAGACATGATACATGGACACAGATGATCACTTTGTGAAAGTGAAACAGGAACTTACAGGGCCAGAGAACAAAGCCGAGGCATCCTAGGGCCCCGCTTCCCCTTAAAAGTACAGGAAAACTCATTTGGCCAAAAATAAAACCTGAGAAGGATTACTGTCAAATCCTCTTCAGAATTGTCTTGAGGAATAGGAAGAGGAGAGCCCGGTGTCCCCTCAGACAGTGACAGCACACCAGAAGGACATGACCACAAGACTATGAAAAAACTATTGCGACAGGAAATGTATGGTTTCAGAACAAGATCAGTAAAAATGGGAAAAGCTAAGAATTACAATCAAGTCTTAAAAACTGGAGGAAAAAGCAAACCCAAAGGAAGTGGAAGGAAGGGATTAAAAGAAATGGGGAAGGGGGAAGGGGGAATGGGGAAGATGCAATAAGACAGACTTTCTAACAAAAAAAAGGAAACGTTTCAATAGCAAGAGAAATAACCATAAACCAGGAAAATTTTCAAAATTATATCACTGTAATTTTATATGATAAATTAGAAAATGATAACTCTTCTTAGAAAAATGCCAATTGCCGAGATTACCCAGTTGAAACAGACATTTGAAACAAATGAGCTTTTTACCAAAACAGTATCAAGCCCAGATTGTTTCAAGGGTATTTCTACCAGACTGTCATGAAATAATCCTAATATTGTTTAAACAATTCCAGGGGCTATTAAGAGACTCTTGAACCCCACAGGGTAAGAAAATACAAACAAAAAAAGACTTCTAAATTCATTTTGTAAAGTGAACATGGTGGCGTCGTTTTTTAAAACCTAACAAAGATTGTACCAAAGAGAAAATTATAGACTGCTCTTACATGAATATATCAGTGCATAAATGTTAACAATACATTAGCAAATAATTCAAAAGCATTAAGTCATAATTAATTTGGGTTTATTATAAGAATGCGAGAATAATATTAGTACATTATGTTAAAGAGTTAAGGAGAAAAATAGTGATTATTTCCATCTTTGCAGCAAAGATATTTGACAAAATTGAGCATTCATTTGTGTTAAATATACTCAATAAGCAGAAACTTTTGAGTAATTCATTTTACATTGTACTTCTCCCCAGAAGCCAGCATGTTAATGTTGAGAGAGGCTTTCCAACTAAAGTCAGGAACAAGGCCTAGTACCTCCTCTATTACTTAATTTTGTGTTGGAGGTTTTAGTCTATGAAATTAGATGAAAGACTTGTGAACTGAAAAGATAGAGGGAAACTATTTGCAAATATGATTTTATATCTGGAAAACCTAAAGGAATTTGTTGGAAAGCTATGAGAACTTAGCATAAGTAGCAGTTGCATGCAACTAATACGTAAATATCAGTAGCTTTCACCAGGCACAGAGAGGAGTGCATGCTCTGATGCCATTTAGATGAAGTTCAAAATGGGCAGAATTAATCATGAATGATGTCAGAAATCAGTGCCCTTGTTTAGTCACTACCTCACTTCTCAAATGTAAGCGCTATCATGACTTAAATCACCATCTGTTTTTGAACTTTCTCTGAGTGGACTCGGAGAAGGCAATGGCAACCCCCTCCAATACTCTTGCCTGGAAAATCCCATGGACGGAGGAGTCCGTGGGGTCACGAAGAGTCAGACACGACTGAGCAACTTCACTTTCATTTTTCACTTTCACGCATCGGAGAAGGAAATGGCAACCAACTCCAGTGTTCTTGCCTGGAGAATCCCAGGGACGGGGGAGCCTGGTGGGCTGCTGTCTCGGGTCGCACAGAGTTGGACATGACTGAAGCGCCTTAGCAGCAGCTGAATGGAGTCATAATGGACACATTAGTTCTCATCTGGTTTCTTTTGCCCCACAGGGACTGGAAGAGCACACGGCAGGGCTGGTGTGGTGCTGGTTATGTTCTGTTTCATGATCTGGGTGCTGGTTACATAGGTGCATTCCCTTTATGAATATCAAGCTGGACACTTAAGATTTGTGCACTTTTCTCTGTGTGTAATTATAGTTCAATAAAAATGTCTACTAAAAAGAATAAAAAACTTTACATATAAACCTAAGCTAGTTAGAAGGTGTGCTTAAAGAGAAGATTCCTCTTAATGATTACAAAAAAACGAACAGAAACCACGTATCTATAAAATTAAGATGTCCAAACCTGTATGGAGAAAATCATAAAATTCTTAAAAGTCCTCCAGGTGGCTCTGGTGCACATTGAAATTTGAGAACCAATCACTGATTTAGAAAAAGTACCTTGGAAGGAGGAAGAAGTAAGAACCCCATAATTATTTACAAATTTAAATTGTAAAAAGT